ATCATCCACAGTCCGGTAAGCACTTGTGATACCCTAACCAATATAAGAATGTGTTTGCTCTGAATCATCTCATAGTGTGTTGTACAAACGGCCGGTTATGGTGATAGTTCTTTTGAATCATCTCTTAATTTGTTATATTTCATGTAGAAGAAAACGGTTTTGGTACGAGTGCGTATGCTGTGGACTGGGACCCCGATCATCCACATTCCGGTAAGAACTTGTGATACCCTAACCAAGCTAACATTGCCTTTGCTCTCAATCATCTCATAGTGTGTTGTAGAAACGGCCGGATCATGGTGATAGTTCTTATGCAGTGCATTAGTATCCAGATCATGCACCTTCCGCTAAGTGCTTGTGGTAGCTTATCAATTTTAGGGAGTGTTTAGTCTGAATATAAGCATTTGGTATGTTTATTAAATCTCCAAAATTAATCTGTAGCACCTTTTTGTTAAACTGATATTTAAGTTATAACTATATGCAGCTTCTGATGTTCCCGAAGCAACGGCAAAACACCATCAGATAAAAGTTCAAACTGGCATGTTGTTCCTGAAGAAAAATCTGCATGTTGGCACTGTACTTCCGAAAGGAACCACTTTTTCCCGAGCCGGTGCACCAAAGCCTGTCGATTCCATCTCTACTCCGTTGGAGTCGAAGCACTTGCGAACCATCCTTGCGCATTTCAAGATTCATCATGGCTCGATGAAGGCGAAGCAGGTAGCTGAGACCCTTGAGTCATGCGGCAAACTGGATGACAAGGAGGAGCCTCACATGTGCTTCACATCTCGTGAAGCAATGGCAAGGTTTGCGACCAAAGCATTAGGAGCAATCGGTGCACGAGCAGCCGTTACAAGGATTCATGGGCATGAGACCCCCAACTCCATGTACGCCGTTGCACAGATCGCCCAACTCAGCAGCAATGTGGTGCCATGCCACCCCATGGATTTTCCATATGAGGTTTTCTACTGCCATCGGCCGAAAGAGGTGCAGGCACTGAGGGTGCAACTCAAGGGCTTGAAAGATGGAATGCCGCGCGTGACGGCGACAGCCATGTGCCACATGAACACATCTGATTGGGACGGGCAGTACTTTGAGCTGTTGGGCGGGGAGCGTGGCGAAACCATTTGCCACTACATGCCAACAAACTACATAATGTTCTACTATTAGGTATGTGAATCATTCTTCTTCTGTCCTATACATTTCAGGAGATCCTTCTCCTTCTATTTGATAACCGTGTCAATGGCGCAGAATCGTCTGGCACCACCCTGCTGACTACATCTTTGAATGGTTCAAAAAAAAAAAATCAGCTGTGGAGGCCCCTGGGAAAGAGGAAAGACAGCAAGGTGGCACGAGTGATGCTTTCGACGGAAGCGGCCCTCAGCCTTATGCTTTACCCTAGTTATCTCGCTCCTTTGTTATGAGCTGGTCTGTAATAAGCACTTATCACTTGCTCTAGTTGTCATGTAAAACCCTGTTTGTGATGTTTTTTTTTCGAAAAGGAGGAATACCCCGGCCTCTGCATCTGAACGATGCATACGGCCAATGTATTAATTATTAACACAAGACCTTACAAAGTCGTACAACAGTAAGACCAAAGCCACCATCTTCGCAACCTCTGTCGCTACTCCTATCTAACTGATGAAGGGGCGCTGATGGTCTGGGCCTAATACCAAACAGACCTCGTAGCCTGCCGGGTATGGGCACCCACCAGTCCGGCGTGCTCTTCAACCAGGACCCCTGCCGGGTATGAGGCCGCCGCAGCCACGTACCATCAATCCATCTTCAGAGTTGTACTGTTGCATGAACCGTGCCAGGTCTCACTGCCATCGACGCCACCACGATGTCAGACAGCGCCACCATCCTGCGCTCGTCCATCATCACACGCCCACCGGCGAAACCCCCACTGCTCCATGCCACTGAGACTCGCCGTTGTCAACGTGCCAGATGCCACGCCGCTCCTCCGACGCGAACACCAAAAACAGGAAACGCCCTAAAGATACAAGGGGCACTCTGCACAACATGAAAGCCGCCGCGAGCAGCTGCAGAGAGCCAGCCGGCGGCCAAAGCCCCCACCTTCATGAGCCCACACCCGAGTCCTAACTCCCCAGGCAACGCCTCCAAGGAGGAGATGACGCCCATGGCGCCACCGCTGCCCAATCCAGGCCGGATTTTGGGTTTTCACCCGGAAGAGGACCGGAGGTGGCAAGAATAAGGACCACGACACCGCCTTCAGGAAGGATGCGTCGCCCGAAGCCGACGCTGCTGTCGAGCCGAACCAGCCGGCCTAGGGTTTCCCCCGGTCCCAATCTGCACCACCATCCCCAGAAGCACCGGAACCAGCAGCATCCACCGGCCTCAAGCGCAAAGGGGAAGGAGCGGGAACGAGGGAGCAGCAGGCCTCCAGATCTGGCGAGGACGAAGGCCCCCGAACTGCCGCCGCCAAGCGTCGACTCCCCACCACCCGAGCGGTCGAGGACGCCGAGCAAAGTCCCCGCGCACACCGTCCAGGGCGTGAACGGCGGCGCCGAACCAGCAAGGGTCGCCGCCCCGTGGATCCGGATCTCCGCGAAGGGACGATGAAGGCCCCGCCGCCACCTTCCTCGGCAGCCGCGCGATGCATCGGCGGCTCCTCTGGTGGCGACAAGGAGGAGAGGAAGGGGAGGGGAGGCCGGCGGCGGCGGCTAGGGTTAGCCGCCCGTGTCGCCCCTGTTGGAGCGACGCGGGGGCGAGGGCACGACCAACTTGGGGCTGCCTTGCTGACCTTAAAAATGGGGAGATTTTCACTTCCCGGCCTCTGCACCAACTAAGGATGCATACGACCATTTTAGTATGAGTACCAAGATAAACATGATCCTCAGAATTTTTTAAATGAGTATCAAGATATTTATTGATGAGTGGTTCCACCACACATCAAACTTGATCCTCAATAAACGGGGAAAAACCCCTGTGCATCACCTGTCAATTCTGAGAATTGAACTCGGGTCGTTGGGTTGCACAACCACATACCCAACCACTGAGCCAAGGCTCTCTCTGCACTGTAAAATGGGGGAGAATTTCACTTCCCCAGCCTCTGCACCAACTAGGGATGCATACGGCCATTTAGTATGAGTACCAAGATAAACATGGTCCTCATAATTTTTTAAATGAGTATCAAGATATTTTTTGATGAGTGGTTTCACCACACACCAAACTTGATCCTCAATAAATGGGGGAAAACCCCTGTGCATCACCTGTCAATTCTAGGAATTGAACTTGGGTCGTTAGGCTGCACAACCGCATGCCCAACCACTGAGCCAAGGCTCTCTTTGCATTAAAAAATGGGAGAGTTTTTCACTTCCCGGCCTCTGCGCCAACTAGGGATGCATACGGCCATTTTAGTATGAGTACCAAGATAAACATGGTCCTCAGAATTTTTTTAAATGAGTATCAAGATATTTCTTGATGATAGGTTCCACCACACACCAAGCTTGATCCTCAATAAACGGAGGAAAACCCCTGTGCATCACCTGTCAATTCTAGGAATTGAACTCGGGTCGCTAGGCTGCACAACCGCATGCCCAACCACTGAGCCAAGGCTCTCTTTGCTACTACGGCCTTGTGGGCTTTATTAATTTATTATCACTTGCTCTAGTAATAAGCACCTATAACTTGCTCTAGTTGAAAGGTATGTGGATCATCACTAGCAGATTCTTGATGTGCCATGACTTTGACATATGCATGAGTAACCTGGCCACACAGTTGGATAATGCGTTGCATCGGCTTCTTAATGTGCTATGACTTCTCTGTTTGAAGAGTCTGTGCCATAATTTAGGATTGTTCTGTAAAGATCTGCCATTTTTCTCAGCCTGCTATGTTTGGCTTCTAATCCATGAGCTGAATCAGTATGTTTTGCCTGTACTTAGGCTATTCCAGGTTGCTTACCATGCCTTTATGTTTGCACTAAGGCAGGGTAATGCACATGGCTACTTGTTCATGAAGATATCTGAGCTGATATTTGGGGCTTAAAAGTGGTTGTCTACAGCCTGTTCACGCCCTCACAGGCAGCCAGCTACTTGTTCCAGGTTCCAGCCAGCAGTAGCAAACCTAGAGGCAGCTTAGGAACACTTCAGCCAAGCTTTATTACGACACTAGACAGGCAATGTCGCTCGCGACAAGTTCAGCAGTCTATGCTAGTATATCATTTCCTAAGACCAGGGAATTACATTTGACGAGCATGTGCTGCGCCATTGACATTGTAAATCTGGAAGATTCAGACCTAAGCTACTGTAATGCATCATGGATCGGTTGAGCGTCCGTTTGAATCATGAGTCGCAGGGCTTCTAGTGTCGGAGTAAATGACCACGGGTAGCCCTATCGGCCCCTCATGGTATTTCAAGATATCGGGGTTGGTTGCGCCCCTCAGACATCAAAGACAAAGGATCGCCTTCTTGGGGCCGGCTGGTCCAAGCGGCCGGCTGCTAGAAGGCGGCGAAGCTTAGAGGGCGGCCATGAGGTGGGCCGACTCCTAGCAGGCAGCCCCTCGTGCCCTCAAAGTTTGCACCCACATAACAACGACGAGACGAGACGGGGCGTGGCTACAGTGTAGCCTGCCACCCCCGAATCTAGGGCCAAACGTGGCCACAGTGCAGCGTACTGGACGGACATCCCTTGCCCGGCGCGACATTGTTGCCACGCAGCCCGTGACATCATCCATGGCAGAGGAAGCCATGCTCCCACGATGGGCTGTCGGTACGGCCCGCAGGCGGTGGGCCCTACCTGTCCATGAGATGCCAGAAGGTGGCGAGCCCAGACCAGCCGGGGCGGGGGTGGGCCGACTTCTAGCAGACGGCCCTCCCCCTCCATTGGAGTTTGTGCGCCATTAACCAGATTAGACGGGATGTGGCTACATTGAGCGCCCGCCAGACGGCGGGACTGTAGCCACGCTTCCCCAGACCAAGCATCCGTCATCAGGAACAAGGCTACAGTACCAAGCAGCAGACATGACCCGCAGGCGGCGGGCCCTACCTGTCCACCGAGAGCCCGGCAGCCGGCGGGACCCACCAGGCAGCGGGCCCCAGCAGCTGGCGGAGAAGCCGGCGACCAGAGACACTGACGGCCGGAGCCTACACCCGGCCGAATTACCATTGTACCCCCTATATAAGCCCCCCAGGACACCCATGCAAAGGTTCAACACCTTAGAAAACACACACCCACATAGAGAGAGGAGTAGAGCTAGCCTTGCCCTTCTTCCTTCTCTAGCAAAACAGCTCAAGGAGCAACCTTGTAGCCACCTTGTTAACATAGCAATCATGCGGAGACCCCACAGAGCAGGACTAGGGGTGTTATCTCCTAGGAGAGCCCTGAACATGGGTAAGATGTGTCGGCGTATGCGATTGCGCCTTATCCCGCTTCCTGGCACCGGCGACGTACTCTTGTCCCCCACCATGATAAGCCACCCCCTGGCATATGTCACTAGATAACCCTGACACCCAGCTCAGCTGCGAGGTTGATGGCCTCCTTGACCGACCTCAGTTTTGCCGCAAAAGCATTAGTTTTAGACCCTGGCTAACTGAAACTAAGAACATCGCTATCTCTTTGTCGCATCCCCACCAGTGTTGGTGTCGACGGACAAGTGACAACAGACAAGTGGCCCCGGGTCCCACTGTGCAGGGTCAAAGGGTGTAAGACGTGTGGTGTGTGTGAACGTGGGTCCGGCTGGTAGCGTGTACTGGTGGTGTGGTTATATTGTAGCTACAGACTGTAGAGAGGGCAGGTTGTTGAATGAATAGTAACTGAACCTCATCTCTCCCGTGTTTTGCTTCTCCTCCTCTGGTTCCCCTTTTTCTCATCTTGTTCTTCCCGATCCCCTCTCAAACCCTACTTGTTGATCCGTGAGACTAGCCAGGGCCTCACAATTGGTATCTAGAGCCTCGAATTCGTGTTCGTCTGCGCCCAAATCCTCCTGATTCGGCGATAAAATTCCACCGCGAAGGGTGCGAAATTTGCTTCGACAAAATTCACTCGAAATCCCAAGTGGGGTTCGCTGGGTTCGAAGCGGGCCGCAACGGCGCCCTCAAAGCCGCCACTTCCGTCCGCCCAGACCAAGTTGGTCATCGCCACCATGGGAGAGAATTCTGAGAGTATTCAAGCGTCGCTGGCCGCCCTTCTCAAAAAGATTGAAACCATGG